TGAATAAAAACATGTGCAACCAACATACAACCAAGATGTAAATACTGAATACCTATACACACAGGCTCTCTAAAACAACCAAGTACACAATTGTCTCTTGTGTCACCCCCCCAAAAAAAACCCATAAACATATTCCACAATTCCTATATATGCACACACACAACCTACACAGTCCCTTTTTTTTCCAAATATAAAAAATGATCTCTTACATCTCCTAGAATACGCACACCATAATCTCCAGGAACTCAAATACATATAAAGCCACAAAAAACCTGTACTTATCATATACATCCACCTCACAAAGACTGAGAAGACACATACAAGCAACACCATCAAACTCTGCAAGCATTACATTCTGGAACAGACACAAAGAGGTCCCTAAGCCTCCTGGAACATTCACAAAAACACACACCCGCAAACCACTCATGAATATATATACCTCCCACACTCAGAAAGATACACTCAAAACACAAAAACAATGATAATCCCTTAACTCTCATTAATATACATGGACAATTCTCTCACACTTATGCATGTGTGCATGTACACACACACACAAATATACTCAACCCTCTGAACATAGAGATCTCTCAAAAACTATACTTTATGCCACCTCTCTCCAGAATACAACCTCATCACCTCTCCCCTCAATATATAACAAAAGGACTATATATGTGTGTATGTGTGTGTACATACCTACATATATTTTTTCTCCCATCACCCTGACTATACAGACAGACCATTTTTTACTACCTACTAACAAACTCTAGTATTTTCCAAAGAAATACATTTTAAATACCCCTAACAACCCCATATACCCTATGAGCAAACTTTGATAATTCATGCAACTGGTGATAGATATACACACAGACCAGGTGCAAGACACAGAGAAATATCTCCAGCAAACCATGTATGAAACAACTTCCAAACACCAAATTATCCCTAGCTAAAGAGTCAGCTCTAACATCAACAAATACTAATACCCATATCACACACCTCCAATACATATAAATACAGTTCTTCCACTCCCTTGTATAAACAAAGAAACCCATCTCTCCATCAAATACACACATACTCACTTCCCAAAATAGGCAGCCTTAATAGCCCCCTACCGAAAAATATTAACACATAGCTCCAACAAATATTCCTCCAAACAACCATGGACATGGACTTTGAAATGCACACCCAAACTCAACTCTGCAAGCCCCAAATATACCCACAGTTCCCCAGTACACTAAAATATGCAAATATACCACTCTATACCCTCTGTCCCAAACACACATATAGTGTCACATTACCTTCAATACATAACTCCATACTCCCAAATTCTCAAAGACAATGAACTCTTTTGTCTCGCAGAATAACGAAGCTAACAAACACCACATCAAATCATACAAACACCACGCCACACCTGCATATGCAACATCGACCAGTCCTATAAAATAGTCTCAGACTTGCCTTCTATACACTGTAACAGGCATAGAGAGCACCTGCAAAATCCTAGAAAGAAATACACATAACCATACAACATGCCCTGAATACACAATGATCCTTCCACAGTCCCCAAATACAAAACAAAAAGATCACACAGCCAAGCTCATGAACAAGGACTTTTTGCATATGCAGATAATCCTTCCAAACTGGCCATTAGTGAAATCCCCAAATTCAAGGGTGGGTAGAAGTAAATATCCCCCAAACACCAAATTACAAACACCTAACCACCATACAATACAGCTCAACACCCTCAAAATACAACGCACAGTCTGAACACTTTCACAGAAACACAGGCATGACCTCCTGTTAATCACAAATACCCACAGACAAAACCAACCCACACATTTGAATACATATATCAGATTCCCACCAACTAATTAAATACGTACAAACCCCATCTTTGCTTGCAATTCCATGATTTGACAACATACTTCATTAATTACTATTAGATTCAGCAAAGTCATTCACCTCATTGACTTGAGTTACTTCTTGCTGAATGGCAGAATGATTTTCAAATTTTGGGAGAACGCCCCCCGCCCCCAACTCCAAGCTCATAATGCGGGAGACTCCGAGTTTAACAGCGTACACATGTTACTAGACCCCACTGCAGGCCGGCAATAACTGACCAGCACCTCCTACTGCAACCAGTTGAGAGTGGCGCCAATTCCCTGGTATAAACACCCCAGAAGTGAACTGTATGGGAGCATGGACACAGACCGCGGAACTAACAGCCCACAGCGTTTACAACAGTAACGAGCTATGACACCTGAGGGGTGAAGAATGCCACATCCCTTACCTCCTTGTTTACATAACGGACTCTGGAGGCCGCCATGCCAGGCCCCGTGCACAACGTGCACAGCTGTTAGGACCGCCTGGCTAGCGCACGCACGCCTTCCACAGTCAACCGCCGCAACGGATGCTGGGAGCCGTTGCAGGACCGAGCCCGGCCCCCGTGGGCACGCTCGTGCGTGCTGGCGTGAGACGTCCTGGGGCGAGGTACCCCGGGAGCCGCGCGAGCTGTCCCTGCGGGAGAGGAAGAAACGGTGGATGGGGGGGAATCCCTGTGAAGCTTCTTGGGCAGGTGTTCCTCCTCGGGAACCTCGGTGACCCTCCTTCCTTCAAACCAGCACCCTATGAAGTGAGCACTTAATGATTTTAAAATTGCAAACGTGCAATCCATGCACTTAGTTTACCCTCGTGAAAGAGTTTTGGGAAGTCTACCAAAAACACATATCCTCAAATTAGGGCAAGTACCTTCATGCCCTTCGGACCGCATTTCCGTGGTTCCTAAAAATAGTGGATTCTTTCTCCTAGCAAGTCTGGATGTTCCATTAAACAATGCTGGCAAAGAAATTTAGACCTGGAACGCTCTGAGAGATACTTTGACCTGACTACATTCCTAGAGTCTCTCCAAACGCATTTACTGTGCTAGAATATTTTTATTGGTGTATTTCTTTAGTTCGTGGAGGTTTTTCAATAAATGTTGATTCGCAGATGCTTCTGTTGCAAGGTGGTTGTTGTAACATTGATCAAGACATGACTGTCAAGGCCAGGTTCCACTGACATAGCAGGAAGCGTGGTAGCAATTTCACCCTCCCCTCCCTCCTTTTTTGTATTACATTGCAGAATTTCAGTTGGGAATAAAACTATATATATATATATATATATATATATATATATAGTAGCAATTCAGCTTACTGACTTGAGTTTGTAATACTTGCCAAAGAAACTGAAATCATCAGATCCTCTTTCTGGTCTTTTGTAAGAGCAGAGCATTTCTCACTCCACAGGATAGCTGTGAAGACCCCTCACATCTAAGTACACTAAACTTATCCAAGTGCACAGACTGAAAACTACACAAGGCACAAATATGGTACCTTGCAATCCCTCCAATGCTACATGATGGGCAAAGATCAGTTGTCTTCTGAATCCTATGATCCATACCCAAAGATCCCTCTTCTCAACACTAAGTGCCCTCCTTTGATATTTCTGCAGGAATTCTCAGAGACCAGGACCCAAAGCACTATTCACTACCCGCTTCCATGACCAGTCCTCCCAGATTACATTTGAGCTAATCTGACTGTGTCTAGTTCTAGGGTCCGGACTTTGATGGAGTACAAAAATGATTGCAGCACTGGAACCAGATAATATTCCCCAGTGCAATTTTTATATCACTGGCCCCAAGAAGACTCATTCAAATCCTGTCAGAGCCATGAGTGAGATTCTTGTAAATACTTGATTCTCTGAAGGAAGGAAACAAGGAAACTTGTGTTTCATAAGTGAGTGACTGAGTACAATATTTTGCTTCACTATACCTCTAATATGAAGTTGTTGGTTGAAAATCACTTAAGGTTGCATGCATGATAAAAGCTCAACTCCTAAGAAATATCTTCAAGTTTCAATCCCCATTGTAGTTTTGTAAATAAGATCTACCCTGGTTTTGCTTGAATGGTTCTCACCTCATCTTTTGAGTCAATTTTTCCTTGCAGGTAGCAATAAACTTCTTAAGTGCCAATGGGGGTTGATTTTAATGAATATGAACAACATGGAGCAGTTCTAAACCTCTCTTCTCTTCCCCACCACCCTACCATCAGTAGTAATTCTGCTGGTACAGCACAAAGTGAAGATTGACTCTCAAGAAATTTGGTTGCAATCCTCCAAAGTTGTCACCCTTTATCTCCCTTGATTAATTTTCTAACAATTCTCTCCTTTCACAAAACGCAAATCCTTCTTCAGGTCATTTTGACAGTGATAAACTGACATTTATGCACAATGCGAAAATAAGAATCAAACAAGTTTTCTAAGGGGTGCGACCATGATTCTCATGCAGATGGGACCACGTGCAATGATGAGAGTAGATTGCAAAGAGCAAGTGTATATGATACGGACAGGAAATCTGGAATCCAGTGAGCAGGGCTTCCAAGCTCAGACTGACAAACTAGGATTTAGGTGGGTACAGGTTTTGTGAATGGGGGATAGACATGGTGGAGAGAATTCTGGTTTTATCTCAACGTGCACATCCATCTCATGTGTAGTAGAATTTTAACACATAGTAAAGCCAGGATCTTAGGGTGTTAAGCTGCATTAACATGTGGAAGTAGGATGAGGGACCACAAACTAGGTCGATGGAGGAAGAACTGAAATAAAGAGCACATCAATAAAACCTTTGTACTGTGAATTTTTAAAAACAATGCATTAATTGCCTAAAGAGGTACACACCAACTATGTGCCACTTAAAATTTGAGAGAAACTTCTGGTTCTTGCCTACGTGCAAGAGCCCTCCATGGAATGTCTCGCTATACTCACCCACCCAGGCCCACCTGCCCTCTGCCCCTCCCCCACTACAGAATGTCCAGAGTCCTACATTCTGCTGTTTAAATTCAAACTCTTCCCTCCTTCACTGGATGCTGAGCATCTGTTGGAGCAGGTCACTCTCTGGTCCTGGACTTGAGTTTTCTCATTGTGGAGGCGACTAGGCAGTGGTGGTCAGTGCTTGAGCCTGCGGGATGGCTTCAGTAGGAGGTAAGCCTGTAGAGTGGGGGGGGGGGTGGTTTTAGAGACCAAGTTATCTCTCAAAACTTGGGATTAAAATGTTACACTTCTACTGGGGAAACATAGTTTGGACTGAAGTAGAGGAAGGAGAGAGCACTGGACCTCCAAGGACCTATCACCCGGGAAGGCTGGGGACCAGTGGAAACCTATGACAGCACTGGACAGCAGGGCTCCTGAGAGGTGGATCAGGATGACTCAGGGGAAATGCCTGGGTGTGGAGAGAGGATGGCAGCAGGCACACGGATTCTTTCTAGAGGGGAGACAGTCACTTTGACACACGTGTGTACACAGTAGTGGGTTGTGTCACGGTGGTGGCACAGGGAGGGTCATGGGAAAGCCTAGTCTTATGTCTCATTCTTCAGGCACCTGCAGCTTGTCCCACAATATATTTATAATGGATTAGAGCTGACTATGGTAGAGCTAATGGGACCAGTGAGAAGAGGTGGTCTGGCCAGAACATTGTCCAGTGGGGTTTTCTGTGGCCAAGTCTACAGGTTACTCCAACTGCCACAGCTCAGAGCTTCTCCCCTTCTTCCATCTCAGAGTTCACTTCTTCTCTGCCCAGGGAGCTTCTTGTCTTGGGTTCCATGTGGACAGGGCCACTGGGTAACTTCTACCAAGATGGAGCTCAGTTCCCTGACTTGTCCTGAATTATTCCCCCTCTGTGACAATTTGGTTCTTCAGACCTGCTTCCTGTCATCATGCATCTCACAGCACACCCTCTACCCTGCCTTGTACCTTTGAGATGAGGGTTTGCTCATAGTCCACATCACTGAGTCATGCACGGAAGACAGATGTGGACCATGATTGGTTCTCCTGGGGAACACCTGTGAAGGTGGATTCTTTTTTAAAGGGGGCAAGGGGAGTATCACAGAAGCAGAAAGATAATCTTCTGTACCATTATTAAATGTCCAAAGGACACCTGTCCTGAGTACTTCGGGGTATGTGTTGTGTAGCTTGTTCTCCTGGACCAGAGTCTGCATGAGTTCCTGTGAATAGGGATGTGTTCCAGACAACATTGTCACACTGATACCTGGCTCACATACGGTTCATACTGTGTCTTCACTTTCCATTGTTGGGAGCTTGAAGGATATGGACCACAGACTGCAGTCCCATGACTATCTAACATGACAGTGCTATGGAAGTTTTTATAAACTTCTAACGACAGCCCCACTGCTCCTCATTCTTCAGCCCGTTTCTAACTCTCTGCAGTCATTACTGACTGTGAAATGACAGGATCTGAGGGACACAATGCATACTTCACAACCCCTCTCCTGGGAACAGAGCTCCTGAGGGTGGTCATTAGTCTGAGCACTGGGGCCACAGTGGCAAAACCTGGCCCATGTTAACTGTTTGCTGTTATTGGTTCTGACACACATGTGCATGCCAGGCTGGTATGTGCAAGGGTTACATTAGGATTCCTGCTGCTTTCTTGTGGAGAAATCTTGCTCAAGTGTTTTTGTAGTGATGTACAAGTCTTGGACTGAAAGAGAGTGATTTATATTGAGAAAAGGAAGATTGAGGAGGAGATGGGGCCTGTTCACAAGAACCTTAGGGTCCCTAGAACTTACCTTGGAGAAGGTTGCTACCACTAGTGTGTCTGCCTAGAGTTGTTTCCCACAGAGCAGATTTCTGTCCAGTACCATGTCTTGGGGGACAGCCTCTCAGTCTGGCAGGGTTGGATACCAGGGTATCCTCAGGAAGGCTCTCAGAGTCAACACTGGCTGGGGCTGTTTCTCCTGAGCACACAGTGTTCAGGGAGCTTTGGTGAATGGGGAGCAAACTCTCCAGTGGAATAATTATCAGCAGGAGGTCAGAGCATGACAGTGACTTGAGGACATTTGCAAACTCTACAGTTTGCCCCATCAAAATGTCCCTGACCTGTTGAGGCTCACAGCTCTGATTCCCCAGTGGCTAAAGGGGACCCAGGGAGCCTTAGTCCTGTTAGCCGATTTTCCTACTCCATTCACCCCTTTCCTTTGTCTCAACAGCGTCTGCGGTGCTGGCAGCGGATGTGGTTTTGAACCCTGGTGCTTCCATGACTCCTTTCATTGCACTGCCCTTTCCCCCATCCACCACTGGCCCTGCACACCAGCCGTCTTGGGAGCAGCACCTGCCACCCCTCACGACCCCTTCATTGCCCTCTGGCCACCCCTTGGTGCTGTTGGCTTTGCCCAGGACACCTCTGGTGGCAGAGAATGCTGGTCATGGCCCTGTTGGGACTGGGGCTTGCAACATTGTTGTTCAGGTCAGGTCAGAAGCGGCACAACCACAGGTCCCACAGACTCAGACCATTGTCCTGACTCAGACCTCCCTCAATGGGAGTGTTCCAGGGGCCGTCTGTGGCGGTGCTGTGTGCCCTGCACCACTATGCTTGCAAGCCTCTGCAGTGGAGACGATTATGCCTGCCTCTGCTTTTGGGGGCAGCCAGGACAGCAAGGGGGGCTGGTTTCCTGGCCTTTCTCCCCAGACTCCACGACCAGCTGTCCAGCTGGCCCCTATCACCTCCCCAGTGAACCCTGGGCCACAGCCACATGGGGTTTCCAGCGAGGGTAGCCTGGCTACCGCCCAGTCCAAGGCCTTGCCGGACGACTCCTGTAACCCCAACAGTGTGTACAAAAACTTCCGACGTTGGCAGAGCTTCAAGGCACTGGCCCGGAGGCACCTTCCCCAGAGTCCTGATACAGAAGCTCTTTCCTGCTTTCTCATGTGAGTGCACTGGGCAGAGGACAGGGGGCTCACCTGGAGATTTCACATAACAGAGGAATGTGGGCTGGACATGCCAGCTGGCTTCTCCTGGGATACAGGAAGGAAGGTCTGAGGGTGGTGTCCCAGCTATAGAGTAAGAGTGGGCGGTCAGACTCAAGTCCAGGTTCATAGGCTGGTGTGAATACACGGCAGTAACAGTAGCTGGAAAGCCTTGTCTTTGCACACACAGATGTCTCCTCACTGGCCGGCACTCATTTGGGATGTGGGGTGGGAACATGAGCTGCACAGAGCTGGGTGGGTCTGGCAGGTGGAGGCCAGGCTGTAGACCTTGACTGACCCTGAGGTATTACAGCCCAGTTCTCCGGTCCCTGTCCCGCCTGAAGCCCACCATGACCTTGGAGGAGGGAATGTGGCGGGCCATGCAGGAATGGCAGCACAAAAGCAACTATGATCGGATGATCTATTACGAGATGGCAGAAAAGTGAGTCAGGTTTCTGGGTCCTGACCCCTGTGAGGGGGTGCTGACTGCAGGGAAGTGTCCATCTGTGGTGGTGCTCATTGGAGAGGATATTAGAAAATGCATTTTCAGTCAGCACAGGGTCCCCGCAGCCCAGAGGTCCTTCTCCCCTCTAGAAGCCTCTCCCTTATCTTCAGAATGTGGATTTTTCAATCCTTTCTCCTCACAGAACTCCCCCCTCCTCTAATCTTGACCCATCCCTGGCTCCACAAGAAGGCTCAGTACAGGCTGGGGTGAATGTGCCCAGCCTGGTGGGGTCAGACTCCAGCTAGAGGGGCTGTGCAGGGAATATGCTTCACCAGCCAGCCTCCTGCCTCCTCAGCGGCCCAGGCCCTGACAGCCACAAGACACTTGTTCTCCATCCCTCAGTTAGATGCTGCCTTTGCTGGACTCTGGGCAGCCTCCTTCTCAGCATAGATTGTGCCTCCCTCACCCCACAGGTTCATGGAGTTTGAGGCAGAGGATGAGATGCAGATTCAGAAGTTGCAGTTGATGAAGGGGGTACAGGTCCCATCTCCTCCAGCCCCACCAAGACCTGATCCTCAGAGGCCTCCAGCCCCAGTGGTGGACCCGCAGCCAGGTATGGTAACATGTTCCCAAGGGAGCCCGTGGCCAAAAGCAACAGGGGCGTAGGGTAAGCCACTGTCCTCACATTGGTCCATTTCCTTTAAGGGGTTTTTAGTCTTTCAACCAGAACAGCAATGAGAGCCAGGGCCTGAACTGTTCTTTTCACCATGGGGTCTGGACATGGTCAACTGTCATAACCCATCTCCCTCCTCCACATCAAAGCAACATAAAGTCTGCTAAGAAGCAGGCTGGATGGTAGGGGGCCCTTGGAGAATCAGTAGCTCCACATGTCCTCACACATGACTCTTGGATTCTCCCTCCTTCTCTCATGGGGTCACATGGCTTCAGGTGGTTCTGACCCAGCTATGCCCATGTTAATGCCCCCCAAACACTGCCCTCAACATTGCATGCCTGGGAGGTGGAAGCTTTAGCCCCCCCCATTTTCCCTCCTATTCCCTATCTACTCCACTCTACCCCAGCACCCATTCCCAGGAAAACCATACCCAGGGCCCAGCGATCCCACAGACAGCAGAGGCCCCTGGAGACCGAGGCACCCAATGAGATCCCACCTGAGGCCGTGAAAGAGTACATGGACATCATGGATGAGCTTCTGGGGCCAGCCCACTTAGCCTCAAGAGAGCCAGGTGAAGAATGGGAAGAGGACAGAAAGGAGTTGCAGCAGGAAGAGGATGGGACATACCCAGACCCAGATCTCCTGACATACATTGATGAGCTTTGCTCCCAGGAAGGCTTCATCACCAAGGTGGGCTGGCTGGAGTTCTGGAGTGTACAAGATTCCAGAAGGTGGCACTCCAGCACCCATACCTGGATTCTTCCCAGGACTATAGGATTAAACTCTGTTATTTGTTCCTGAGCTTTGCGCATGCTTTGTTGTGAGTGTAAAACTGTGTGTACATGTGTGCACATTGTGTGCGTGGTATGTGCTGTTTCCTTATGTGGGTGTGCCCTTGTGCTTTTATGTATATGTGTTCATGTGTCTGTGGCTGATGATCATGACTATGTAAAACATGAACCTTTTGTATGAGGATGTGGTGGGTCTTTGCTTTTCCACTTTTCTTCCAGGTCCTGCTGACTCACAGGTTACTCCTTGCTAAGGGTAGTCACAGTCTCTTCCTTTTGTCCCAGGTGGAGGGGATCATTCACCCTCAATTCATGGAACAATTGATTTCCCCAGAAGCACAACTGGATCTCTTGGGCCTATCTGAGGAGTTGGAGGAGGAAGAAGGACTCACTCCTACCCAGGTGAGCCAAGGGACAGAGGTACCTTAAGAAGACAGAGGGGGCCCTCCAGGTGAGCCATGGGAGGAAGGGACCCAGGTGAGTTAAAGGAGGGAGAGACTGCAGATATAACAGTGGAGGGAGGGACTCTGGGTGAATAAGGGAGGGAGAGACTCCAGGTAAATTGTGGGCAGGGAGACCCCAGGTGAGCCATGGGAGGGGCACCCAGGTAAACCAGGCAGGGAACAACCCAGAACAGGGATGCACATGACTCCGTCCAGCCCACCTTTGCCTATATGCATGGCATGCCCAAGGGTCGGCCCTGGGCTGGGTGCAGTGCAAGACAAGAAGAAGGTGAGGACTATAGAAAGAAGAGGGTGATAGGAAGGAGAGGATGGAGAGAAGGGGAGGGAAGGCCACAAAGCTGGAAATGTGGCACAGGAAGAAGACAGGAGACCTACATGTCTGTTTTTGATTCAAGTCATGGTGTCACCCCTGCCTTCCTTCCTCCAATGCCATTGTCCCATCACCTGTGCACCTCTTCTTTTAATTTGCTTGTGCAGAACCAGTCACTGCCCTCTCTTCCTTCCAGGTGGTAGAGAAGCGACTCCTGGCCTCAAAGGGGACAGAGGGTGTACAGCCACCCCCAAGTCAGCATACGCCCCTGTTGGACTCAGGTCCTTCTGGGTCTGCAGCTGGCCAAGATGCCCAGAGATGTGACCACAGCCCCCAGCTGGGGGTCAGTGACAAAGCCTGCCCACAGGAGACTGACTTCAAGGACCGTCAAAGGCATGGTCAAGCAGACGCCCATCTGTCCAGTCCCAAATCCTTTGCTGTCTCTTCAAGACATCAGGAGTACCCACTATTCCAGGCTCAATGTTCCCCCTCTCCTCCCCAGGGTCACAGGCATGCTTGCTCTGGACTGAGACCCAGGGATAACTCCATTCCTAGAGAGGCCTCTCCTGTTAGGGAGACTCGCAGGCCAGGAGACAAGTCCAGAGAGAATGAGGAGGATCTCCCCAGCCTGGCCTTTCTCTGGACCTCTCCTGAAAGTCTATTGCCCTCTGGGCTCTCTCTGAGTCCTGTCCCTGCCTCAGGCCTTGCCTGCCCTGGAGGTTGGGGACCCCGGGGATCTGCCCAGTCCCAGTTCTTTCAGACACTAGGCCTCAGCCGAGTTGCCCCTACAGCTTCCAAGTCTGGGAATGCTCCAGGTGGGGGCCCAGCCCATGCTAAGAAGATCCCTCTCACAGGATCCGACCTCAGTGTTTCTGGGAAGCCAGTCTTGGCTTTGGGGATGGTTTGCTCTTCACAGCCTCAAAAGAGAAACTGTGACCAGTCTGTCACAGAGAGGAGTAGTAAGCGGCATTGCAGCGAGTAGGGAGCAAACGGGGTGTGCCTCCTGTTGCCAACTCTCTGCCAGAGGAGCCATGGGCTCCTCATCTCAAGATTAATCCTGACTATTCTACTGACAAGGGAAGCAGGGAGGGAGGACAGGATCATTAGGGTGGGGTTGGGTCTGGTGGGGTAGGAGCAGCCCCTTTGGGGCATTGTGTGCAAATTATGAATAAAGATAGTTTCATTGAGAAATGCTCTGGTGGCCACTGTCTCTATACTTGGGTCTGAACTCCTCGGAGAGATTTGACAAAAGCAATGGTTGTGGGAGGTCACTGGCACTATGGATCCACAGATGAACATCTACTTGCTCTGTCCAGGTGGACAGGGGCCCCTTCTAATTTCCCCTGAGAACACACAGCTCTCTAATCTCTAGGGACCTATCCCATCATCCCAACTCCCAAGACCAAATTGGGTGAGAGGCCTCCTGTAGCCTTCCATTGTCATTTGTACTCTGAGCCCTAGGGATGGGGAACTTCTTTTGAGACATTCAGCCCTCTGAACCATTAACCAGTTTTATAGAATAACTTGAGTTACCTCTTGTCTTTAGAAAGCTTATCCCTCCCTCCTGGAAGCAGTCAGATAACAATGCTTGAAAATCCTCAGCTCTACCAAGACAGCTCTACCAAGACATCTCTACTCAGAAAGACTATCATTTAGAATCAAAAGATTTTTTAAAAAACTTCCCAGACAAGAAAAACTTTAAAAAATTCATCACCACCAAATCAGTATTATAAGAAATGTTATGAGGATAAAATAAGAGAAAAAATCATAAATATAATTATGCAATGGCAATAACTACATACCTGTCAATAATCACTTTAAACATAAATGGTTTAAATGCTCCAATCAAAAGACATAAAGTGACTGAGTGGATAAGAAAACAAGACCCTTACATATGCTATCTACAAGAGAAACACTTTAGATTGAAAGGACCACACATACTGAAAGAAAGGGGAGAAAAATATTTCATGCAAATAGAAAACAAAAAAAGAGCTGGTATATTGAACTCTATATCAGACAAAATAGTCTTTAAAAAGACTATAACACGAGACAAAGAAAGATATTGCATTATGATAAGGGAATCAACCCAACAAAAGGATACAACCCTTGTAAACATTTATACACCCAATATAGGAGCACCTAAATATATAAAGCAAACATTGACACACATAAAAGAAAACATGAGCAGTAATACAGTAATTGTAGGGAAATTTAACACTCCAGTGACATCAGTGGATAGATCTTCCAGACAAAAATCAACAAGGAAACAATGGCCTTAAACAACACACTAGACCAGATGGAGTTAATTCATATTTTCGAGCATTTAATCCCAAAGCAGCAAAATATTCATTCTTTTCAAGTGCATATGCAATATTTTTCCAAGTTAGACCACATGTTAGGCCACAAAACAAGTTTCAATACATTTAAGATTAAAGTTCGATAAAACATTTTCTTTAATCACAATGGTGTGAAACTAGAAATCCATTATAAAAAGAAAACTGAAAAACGCACAAACAGAGGAAGGCGAGATAATATGCTACTAAACAAAAAAATAGATTAACAACTGTATCAAGGAAAAATAAAAATATACCTTGAGGCAAATACAAAAGAAAACACAGGATCAAAAAATTCTATAAGACACAGCCAAAACAGTTCTAAGAGGAAAATGCATAGCAATACAGGCCTACCTCAAGAAACAAGAAAAATTTCAATAAACAATCTAATTTTACACTTAAAGGAACTAGAGAAGAAGGGGAAAAAAGCCCAAAATGAGTAGAAGAAAGGAAGTAATAAAGATCAGAGTGCAAATAAAATAAAGCCTAAAAAAAATAGAAAAAGTCAATGAAATTTTGAAAAGATAAACAAAATTGATAAACGTTTAATTAGATTTCTCAAGAAAAAAAGAGAGAGAGCTCAAATAAATAAAATCAGAAATTAAAGAGAAGTGACAATTGATACCACAGAACTATAAGGATTGTAAGAAAATGTTACAATTATGTGCCAATACATTGGACAATCTGGAAGAAATAGGTAAATTCCTAGGAATACACACTTTTCCATGACTGGGTCAAGATAAAATAGAAAATCTGAACAGACCCATAACTACTAAATAAAGTAGGAATAAAAACACTTTCAAAAAACAAAAGTCCTGAACCGAATGTTCCAAAGAATTCAAGAGGAGAGAAGGCTCCCAAGATTATTTTATGAGGCCAGCATTACCCTGATTCTAAAACCAAAGACATTTAAGAAAAGGAAATTATAAAACAATATCCCTGATGAACATAGATGCAAAATATTTGACAAAATAATAGCAAACTAAGTTCAGCAACACATGAGAAAGATCGTATACTGTAAGATTTATTGCTGGGATGCAAGATTGGTCCAATATCCACACATCAATTAACATGATACATGACATAAAATGAAGAATAGAAATCATATGATCATATCACAGATACAGAAAAAGCATTTAACAAAATCCAGCATCCATTTATGATTTTAAAAAAGAAACTCTCAGTAAAGTGATAATAGAAAGAACATACTTCAACATAATAAAGGCCATATATTAAAAAAAAAACATAGCTGTCATCATATTCAATAAGGAAAAGCTAAAAACATTTTTCTTAAGATCAGGAAAAAGACAAAGATGTCCCCTTTCACCATTTTTATTCAATATATTGTGGTGTTGGAAGTACTAGTTACTGTAATTGGACAAGAAAAAAAATAATAAAAAGCACCCAAATTGGAAAGAAAGAAGCAAAACTCATTATTTTCTGATAATATAATATTTTATATAGAGAACCCTAAAGATCCCACAAAAAAAACTACTAGAGGTGATCAACATTTTAAATAAATTAGCAGGATAGAAAAATCAAAAAAATTGAAATTGGATTATCAGCTGACACCATACACAAAAATAAACTCAAGATGGATAAAGGACTTAAATATAAGTCACAACACCATAAAAGTCCTAAAGGAGAACATTGGCAGGAAACTCTCAGATATCCCACGCAGCAATTTTTTCACTGATATGTCTCCTAAAGCAAGGGACATAAAGGAAAGAATAAACAAGTGGGACCTCATAAAAATAAGAAGTTTCTGCATGGCTAAAGAAAACATCAGCACAATGAAAAGGGAGCCAACTCTGTGGGAAAATATATTCGCTAACGATACATCAGATAGGGGTTTGATCTCCAAGATATATAAAGAACTCACTCGACTTCACTCCAAGAAGGCAAATGATCCAATCAAAAAATGGGCAAAGGGCCTGGGCAGATGCTTTTCCAAGAAAGAGATACAGAGGGCCCAGAGACATTTGAAAGGATGCTCAGCATCACTAGCTATCAGAGAAATGCAGATCAAAACCACCATGAGGGACCACCTCACACTGGTCAGAATGGCCATCATAAACAGATCAACAAACAACAGGTGCTGGCGAGGCTGTGGAGAAAAGGGAACACTAGTACACTGTTGGTGGGAATGCAGACTGGTGCAGCCATTGTGGAAAGCAGTGTGGAATGTCCTCAAAAAGCTGAAAATGGAACTCCCTTTTGATCCAGTGATTCCCCTGCTGGGACTATACCCTAGGAATCCCAAAACGCCAATTCCAAAGAACCTATGCACCTCAATGTTCATAGCAGCACAATTTACAATAGCCAAGTGTTGGAAGCAACCTAAATGCCCAGTAGCAGATGATTGGATCAAAAAATTATGGTACATATACACAATGGAATACTACGCAGCAGAAAGAAAAAAAGAACTCCTAAACTTCACGACAGCATGGATGGAACTCAAGAACATTGTGCTAAGCGAAATAAGCCAGGGGGCAAAAACCAAATACCATATGATCTCACCTATAAGTGGAACCTAACCAACAATACAAAGATGCAAGGAAAATAAGACCAGCAACACTGAAAGGAAAAGTAACCAACAGAAACAAGAGGGAAGAGGGGGGCAGGGGGAAAGGAAGGGAAGGGTAAAGTCAAGGAACATATAGCAAGGATTCATGGACAAAACCAAAGGGGAAGAGTTGAGGGAGGGAGGGAAGGAGGGAGGAGGCAAGGGAAAGTGGTGGGGGGTAGGCAGAGACAAATGTATTTGAAAAAATAAATTAATTAATTAATTAAAGAAAAGAAAAAAATTGCAAATCCCCTTTACAATTGAATAAAAAAGAAATGAATACCTACAAATAAATTTAACCAAGGTGGTTAAAGACCTCTGCCCAAAAGTTATAAGACACTAGAGAAAAAAACTGAAGAAGATACAAGGAAAAGGAAACATATATTTGTGCACATGGATAGGAAGAATTAGCATTGTAAAAATGTCCGTACTACCCAAAGCAATATATAGATTCAATGCAATCCCTATCAAAATACCAATGACATTCTTCACAGAACTAGAACAAATAATCCTTGTCCTGAATAGCCAGAGCAATCTAGAAAAAGAAAAACAAAGTTATTGTTATCATGCTCCCTGATATCTAACTATACTACAAGGCTATTTTAACCAAAACAGAATGATATTGGTATTATATAAAAACAGACACATAGATCAATGAAACAGAATAGAGAAACAAGAAATAAACCTACGCTTATATACATGATCAATTAATCTATGGCAAACAGGCAAGAATACACAAGGGGTTTAACACAATCTCTTTAATAAATGGTACTGGGAAAATTAGACAGATGCATGCAGAAAACGAAATGACCACTTTCTTATAGTATACACAAAAAGAAAATCAAAATGGATTAAAAACTACAATGTAAGACTGGAAATCATAAATCTTCTAGAAGAAAAGATGGGCAGTAAACTTCTTTATCATTTTAAATATTTTTTTTAATTTTTCAATTACAGTTGACATACACTATATCAGTTTCAGATTAAAACAAAGTGATTGGACATTTATATAACTTACTAAGTGATCACCCCAACAAGTCTTATACCCATCTAACACCATATGTAGTTATTACAATATTATTG